CCTCCTCCTCCTCCTCCTGCGCTATTATTATTATTATTATTAATAGTATTAGTATCAGTAGCAGTAATATTATTACTAGTATTATTATTATTAGTATTATTATTATTATTAGTATTATTATTAGTAGTAGTATTATTATTAGTAGTAGTAGTAGCATTAATAGTATTATTATTGTTGTTAATACTAATATTCTTAATACTATTATTATTATGTATTAGTAGTACTATTATTATTATTAATACTATTAGTACTAGTATTAGTATTATTATTAATAATATTATTATTAGTATTGTTATTATTAGTAGTAGTAGTATTATGAGTATTATTATAATTAGTAGTATTACTATTATTATTATTACTAATAGTATTAGTGTTATTAATAGTAGAGTTAGTATGATTGGCCTTAGTCTTCGTATGGTTCAAAATAGTAGTAGTCACACCATGCGTATTATTATGAGTAGTAGTAGTATTGAGATTATTAGTATCAGTATGGTTAGTAATCACGGCAGTAGTCAGAGTAGTCTTATTATTGCTCATAATAGTAGTATCATTGTTGATGGTAGTTGTCTTATGTGTATTCGTCGTCTTCTCCTAATCGTCGTATTATTACCGTAATATCAATAGTATTTTTCGTATTATGATTCGTATGGCTATTAATCCTCCGCCTCCTCCTCCTCCGCCTCCTCCTCCTCCTCCTCCGCCTCCTCCTCCTCCTTCTCCTCCACCCCTCCTCCTCCTCCTTCTCCTCCTCCTCCGCGTCCTTCTCCTCCTCTCCTCCTCCTCCTCCTCCTCCCCTCTCCTCTCCCTCCTCTCCCCCTCCTCCTCCTCCTCCTCCTCTCTTCATCTTCATCATATCATCATCATCATCATCATCATCATCATCATCATCATCATCATCAGCATCATCATCATCAGCATCATCATCATCATCATCATCATCATCATCATCATCATCATCATCCCCCTTTCCTCCTCCGTCACCCCCATCACTTTGGCACATCCTTCACACGCTGCGTGGCCCCATAGGGAGCTCCACCGAAGGTCCCAGTGGGACCGCCCGCATGCGTCAGCCAGGACCCAGTACAGAGCTGCGTGCCCCCATCGGCGGCTCAACCGCAGGCCCCAGTGGGACCGCCCGCATGCGTCAGCCACCACCCAGCACAGCGTTTCGTGGCCCCAAAGGGAGCTCCCTCGAAGGTCCCAGTGGGACCGCCCGCATGCGTCAGCCACCACCCAGTATAGCGCTTCGTGTGCCCATACGGGGGCTCCACAGAAGGCCCCAGTAGCACCACCCGCATGCGTTAGCCACTTCCCAGCACAGCGCTTCGTGGCACCATTGGGAGCTCCACCGAAGGTCCCAGTGGGACCGCCCGCATGCGTCAGCCACCACCCAGCACAGCGCTTCGTGCCCCCCATAGGGGGCTCCACTGAAAGGTCCCAGTGGCACCGCCCGCATGCGTGAGCCACCACCCAGCACAGCGCGTCGTGGCCCCATAGGGAGCTTCACCGAAGGCCACAGTGGGACTGCCCGCATGCGTCAGCCAGGACCCAGTACAGCGCTGCGTGGCCTCATAGGGAGCTCCACCGAAGGTCCCAGTGGGACCGCTCGCATGCGTCAGCCACCACCCAATATAGCGCGTCGTGGCCCCATAGGGGTCTCCACCGAAGGCCCCAGTGGCACCGCCCGCATGCGTAAGCCACCACCCAGTACAGCGCTTCGTGGCCTCATAGGGAGCTCCACCGAAGGCCACAGTGGCACCGCCTGCTTGCGTCAACCAGGACCCAGTACAGCGTTTCGCGGTCCTATAGTGAGCTCCACCGAAGGCCCCAGTGGGACCGCCCGCATGCGTCAGCCACCACCCATGATAGCGCCTCGTGACACCATTGGGAGCTCCACCGACGGGCCCAGTGGGACCACCCGCATGCGTCAGCCACCACCCAGTATAGCGGTTCGTGTGCTCATAAGGGGGGCTCCACCGAAGGCCCCAGTGGGACCGCCCGCATGCGTGAGCCACCACCCAGCACAGCGCTTCGTGCCCCCATAGGGGGCTCAACAGAAGGCCCCAGTGTGACCGCCCGCATGTGTCAGCTACCACCCAGCACAGCGCGGCGTGGCCTCATAGGGGTCTCCAACGAAGGTCCCAGTGGGACTGCCCGCATGCGTCAGGCACCTCCCAATACAGCGTTGCGTGGGTGGCCCCATTGGGAACTCCACCGATGGTCACAGTGGCACCGCCCGCATGCGTCAGCCACCAACCAGTACAGCGTGTCGTGGCCCCGTAGGGGGGCTCAGCAGAAGGACCCCAATGGCACCGCCCGCATGCGTGAGCCACCACCCAGTACTGCACTTCGCGGCCCCATTGATTGGGAGCTCCTCCAAGCCCCAGTGGCATCGCCCGCATGCGCCCCCCCACCCCCCCCACACCCAGTACAGCGTTTCGCGGCCCCTTAGAGGGGCACCAGTGGCACCGCCCGCATGCAGCTCTCCACCCAGTACAGCGTTTCGTGGGCTCATAGGGAGCTCCACCGAAGGCCTCAGTGGCACCGCCCGCATGCGTCCCCCCCTCCCAGTACAGCGCTGCGTGGGCCCATAGGGAGCCCCGCCGAAGCCCCCACTGGCACCGCCCGCATGCGTCGGCCACCACCCAGTACAGCGTTTCGTGGGCCCCGTAGGGAGCTCAACATAATAGACCCCTTGGCACCGCCCGCATGCGTCTGCCCCCAACCAGTCCAGCGTTTCGTGGCCTCATCGGGACCTCCATCGAGGGACACCGCCCGCATGCGTCCGCCACACCCAGCACAGCGTTTCGCGGCCCATATGGAGCCCCACCGACGGCCCCCGTGGCACCGCCCGCATGCGTCTCCCCCACCCTTTACGCCACGTCCCTCATGCGCTTCGTGGCCCCAAAGGGACCTCCACCGAAAGCGGCACTCACAACGCGTTACTCACAACTGCATATGGTTGGCTCCTTCGCCAGGACAATGTTTGAAGGCAGATCTGCCTTCAACAAAAAACAAGTTTACTCTGCACGAACCATGTGTTTGAAGGCAGATCTGCCCTCAACAAAAAACAACTTCACCCTGCACGAACAATGTGTTTGAATGCAGATCTGCCTTCAAATTAGCCTGACGAAAGACCCAACCATATGCTACTGCGAATACAGCATTGTGGATACCGCTTTCGGTGGAGCTCCCTATGGGGCCACGAAATGAGTAGGGGGGTGTGCCGAATTGCGCGCGGTGGTGCCATGCAAACCCTCCCACTGGAACCTTCGGTGGAACTCCATATGGGGCCACGAACCGTGTGAGGGGTGTGCCGAATTAGGCGCGGTGGTATCGTGCGAACCCTCCCACTGGAGCCTTCGGTGGAACTCCATATGGGGCCACGAACCGTGTGAGGGGATGTTCCGAATAGGGCGCGGTGGTGCCATGCGAACCCTCCCATTGGAGCCTTCGGTGGAGCTCCCTATGGGGCCACGAGCCTTGTGAAGGGTGTGCGGAATTGGGTGCGGTGGTGCTATGGGAAACCTCCCACTGGAGCCTTCGGTGGAGCTCCCTATGGGGCCACGAACCGTCTGAGGGGTGTGCCTGAAAAGGTGCAATGGTGCCATGCGAACCCTCCCACTGGAGCCTTCGGTGAGGCTCCCTACGGGGCCACGAACCGTGTGAAGGGTGTGCCGAGTTGGGCGCGGTGGTGCCATGTGAACCCTCCAACTGGAGCCTTCGGTAAAGCTCCCTATGGGGCCACGAACCGTGTGACGGGTGTGCCGGATTAGGTGCGGTGGTGCCATGCGAACCAGCCCACTGAGGCCTTCGGTGGAGCTCCCTATGGGGCCACGAACCGTGTGAGGGGTGTGCCGAATTGGGTGCGGTAGTGCCATGCGAACCAGCCCACTGGAGCCTTCGGTTGAGACCCATATGGGGCCACGAAGCGTATCAGGGGCGTGCCGACTTTGACGCGGTGGTGTCATGCGAACCCTCCCGCTGGATCATCGGTGGAGCTCCCTATGGGGCTATGAGCCGTGCCGTGTGAGGGGTGTGCCGAGTTGGGCGCGGTGGTGCCATGTGAACCCTCCAACTGGAGCCTTCGGTAAAGCTCCCTATAGGGCCGCGAACCGTGTGACGGGTGTGCCGGATTAGGTGCGGTGGTGCCATGCGAACCAGCCCACTGAGGCCTTCGGTGGAGCTCCCTATGGGGCCACGAACCGTGTGAGGGGTGTGCCGCATTGGGTGCGGTAGTGCCATGCGAACCAGCCCACTGGAGCCTTCGGTTGAGACCCATATGGGGCCACGAAGCGTATCAGGGGCGTGCCGAATTTGACGCGGTGGTGTCATGCGAACCCTCCCACTGGGATCATCGGTGGAGCTCCCTATGGGGCTATGAGCCGTGTGAGGGGTGGGCAGAGTTGGGCGCGGTGGTGCCATGCGAACCCTCACACTGGGGCCCTCAGTGGAGCTCCCTATGGGGCCACGAACCGTGTGAGGGGTGTGCCGAGTTGGGTAGCGCGAGCGGAGGGGCAGGAGGAGGAGGAGGAGGAGAGAAGGTGGCAGGCGGGGCGTCGTTTCTTCAAAGCGAGGACCCAACACCGCAGGATGGTTGGGACAAACACGTTCTTGCAGAGTAGACAACAATTCTCTGAAGGCAGATCTGCCTTCAAAAACCGATATGTCAGTGAAGGCAGATCTGCCTTCAAAAAGCTGTTCTTACGGAGCTGAGATAGAGAAGGCCGTGTCAGAAGGCGGCGGGGCTTCTCAGAAGCCCTCGCGCCTTCTGAAAGGTTCTCTCTGCGTCTTCGAGGAAGGCTTGGAAGACTTTTCAGAAGGCCCGAGGCCTCCGAGCCTTCTGAGAAGGCCCGCCCCCCCTCACTTCCCCCCGGGCGCGCTGCCGAATGGGGAAGCAGTCGTGCGTGGTTAACATCACCAGCGTCGGCTGAGGCGCCCGGGCCGCGAGCAGGTCGGGCTTGTCGATGCCGAGGTTGACCTGCTTCCACAAGATCTGCTCGGCGTCGTAGCTGCAGGTCCCGTGCTCGAGCTCGCGGCCCAGCGTGGAGAAGTAGCACGCCACGCACGCCGCCGCGACGCGGCTGTCCACCGCGGCGAGGTACGCCGTGAGCATGCCGCCGCCGCTGCAGCCGACCACGCCCAGCCGCCCTGGGTCCACGCCAGGCACCGCGGCGAGCAGATCGAGGGCACGCTGGGCGTCTCTCAGGAACAGCTCCGCGGCACTCCGGCCCAGCAGCCACAGCTGCTTGCCGAAGTGGTCGTGCGCGGTGCTGCACTTGCCGCCCACGGAGGCGAAGCCCCCGTCCTCCTCGCAGGTGAAGCCGCACTCCAGATCGTTGCCCCTCCCGTACTGCTGCCGCTCGCCCTGGGACAGCGTGTCGAACGTCAGCACGACGTAGCCCCTGGCCACGAGCCCCAGCATCACCTCCTGCTCGGCCGGGTCTCGCCAGCTGGCGGCGAGGTGCCCGGGGATGTGCAGGACGCCTGGCGAGGGCGAGCCGCTTGACCTGTGGCCGATGGGCGCAAAGATCGCTGCCGGCACGTCGTGCCCCTCCCACGCCTCGAGCAGTATCAGGGACACCTCCACGCCCCGGTCCTCGTCTGTGTACCTGCGGCAAAACTTCCCCCGGAACCCTTCGCGTCGTGAAGAAGCATGACGCGAGAAATGCGGCAAATGTCGGACTCTGGGGGCCCTTGTCGGGCCCCAGGAATGTCAGAGAGCGACACAGCATGAGAAGCCAGTCCCAGGAATAACGGCCCAGACCTCTGGGGGTCAGTCGTGAAAGAAGCATGGCGTCGGGGTTCCCGGACATGTGAGCCCTACCCCTGCAGGCCAGGCTTCTGAATCGCCAGCCGGGGCTCAGAATCTGAAAGGACGTCTGTTGCCAAGTGGGCCACAGCGGGGACAAGGACATCCGCCGCTGTGCTTTGTTCAGTGTGCAGCCGCCAGAAGTCTCGACCGCTTCCTGGAGGTAGTCTTTCGTCTCGGATCCGTTCTGACGGCCCCTGGGCCGAAAGCGGCCACCTGGACGCCGAAACCGATGAAAAGACACCGATTGAAAAAACGATACCCGTGGAAAGTCTTGGATCCGACACCCCAGACAGTCATCACGCTACCACTCTAGCAAAAGGAACACTGAAGAAGGAGCGAAGGGGCTGTTCTGGCTACGGCGAGCCTCGGCTTCGACTAGCTTCCCCGACCTGGATATGAGGAGCGGCCCGCAAACCAGAGCCCCCTCCCGGGCCCAGAGTGGTCCTTCCACCGGCGCCTTGGACTGCAGACGGGGTTCGCGGGGTTGTCGCAGAGCACCTGCGCACGAGCCGCAGCGGAGGCGGCTCCTGCGGGGGCGCCGCTCGGAGCACGCGCCGCCGCAGCGTCTCCCGCACCTGCGCCTGCCGCGCGAGCAGCGCGGAGGCGTTGAGGCCCGCGACGTGGCCGCGGCTCCGCTGCAGGGCGGCCTCGATCTCCAGCGCCCACGAGCGGTGCAGCACCATCGCGGGAGTGGCCACCCCCTCCCGCAGGCAGTCGGCGAGCGTCTCGCACCTCACCTCGCGGAAGGCGCCGTCGGGATCGAGCGTGTGGAGGAAGATGCCCCCCGAGGCCTGCCTGGGGGCGACGAGATCTATACACACCTTGCGCCCCTGGCCAAACCCACCCCAGGCCCAGGATCGATGCGTGTATAGATATGTCTATATATATATATGTGTGTGAATATGTGTAGATATACACACATATATACATAGATGTCCGCCTCCATGGGCCCAATGTGGGCCTGGTCAGAAGCGAAGGGTATCAAGTCTAGATCTCGTCGCCCGAGGCCTCACGCTGCACAACAGAACGCTGGCCAGCGCCCTCCAGCGCATCAGGCGCTGCAAATAGCACGCGCGCCTCCGGCCGAAGGACGAGCCCCCTTCCGAGCCACCGTAGCTTGGGCCGCCGTGGAGCACCGCACGTCGGCTGGGCACTGTCGCAGCTCACGCGCTGCAGCGCAACATCACCGCCACCCGTCGCGTTCGGCCAGCGAGGGCGTCGGCCAAGCTCGCGCCACACCACACAAGCACTCGCCCAGGCGGGGGCTTTCGTTGGGGCCAAGTGGCTACGGAGAAAGAGAGAGAGAGAGAAAGACAGACAGACAGACAGAGAGAGATAGAGAGAGAGAGAGAGAGAGCGAAGCACAAAGAGAGAGAGAGAGACAAAGAGAGAAAGAAAGAAACAGAGGGAGGAAGAAAGAGAGTGAGAGACAAGACACACACACACCTTTGGGCGCAACGGCGACGCGCGCAGCAGCGCGGCGTAGTAAGACAAGCGAAAGGGCACGCACGGAAACACAAACACAAACACAAACATACACACACACGCGCGCACGCACGCACACGCAACCTCTCTCTGTCTCTGTGTGTCTCTCTCTCTCTCTCTTTCTTTCTCTCTCTCTCTCTCTCTCTTTTTCTCTATCTCTCTCTCTCTCTCTCCCTGTGTCTCTCTCTCTCTCCCTCTCTCTCTCTCTCTCTCTCTCTCTCTCTCTCTTAAAACCCCTTAGCACATAAAGCGTTCCTCCAATAACCTAGTGACGTCACCACAGCGAGTACTAGAACGGGGGACGTTCGATCATGTAGAACTTAACCGTGCTACAAACACACGCACAAACACACACACACAAACAAACAAACAAACAAACAAACAAACACACACACACACACACACACACACACACGCACACAGACGCACAGGCAAACGCAGCACACCCACACAAACACACTCCAGCGCGCTCTCACGCACAAGGAGACGATGTGCTGCCCATGCTAACTGGCCAGATGCAAGCGCAATAGATGCAATAGAATAAAGACGCGATGAACTTGGAATCCACATGCTACAAACATGGAGCACAGATGCAATACACATAGTATTCAAATGCACCACCAATACAATAGACTAGCCGGCCGTTCTGCGGTTCAAGAAAAACGGTACATACAAGAAGGAGCGTGTGCTCGTGTGCGTAAGAGAAAAGAGTGGGGG